GGCCATCTGCAAAGCTGGTCCCATCCTGGTCCCATCAGAGGGGGGGGATTTTGGTGGGTCCTCAGGGGATGGGGTGGGGGTCCAGGGTTGGGGTAGGTGGGGACAGTGATGCTGCGAGCCATGGGGACAGGGGTGCTGGGGGTTTGGGGACCATCACAGCCTTGTCCCCATCACTCCCAGCACCCAATTTGGGGTCTGCACCCTCTTTGGGGACCATCTCGTCCCACAGTGTCCTCCTGGGGGTGCCCAAGGAGGAGGGACAGTGATGGCAGATGGCACCTTCCCCTCCAGGTTGGGCACCAACCGGCAGCCAAACCCCCCTCCCACCCCTCCAGACCCCAAACCCCAACCCTGGCGTGGGGAGGAGGGTCCCCAGCTGTCCCAGTGCAGCTGTCCCAGCGCTCCCCCCACGGTGGGGCAGAGCCCACCAGGCAGAGGGACTTACGAGGACGTCGAAGCTGTCCCGGTAGAGGTGGCGGTCGCAGTGCAGACAGTCCCCCCGGCAGTCGCCCCGCGCCCGGGCGAAGAGGCAGAGCAGCAGCAGGTCCCAGAGCACAGCCCTCATGGCGGCTGCGGGGCAGGGAGAGACAAAAACCTGTCAAACCCAGCCCCACGCCTGCACTGAAATGTGCCCGGCCTCAGCCTGGCCTCCCCTCACCACCCCCTGCCCCAGACACACACCTCCCCAGCCTCCCAGCCAAAATTATCCTGTGGGGAAAGGAGCTTCCCCATCCCCAGAAACAGATCCCCCGTGGCCCCAGCTTCATTTTTTCCAGGCTACCTCATGGCACGAGTCCCGGACGGGGCTTATTTTAGCAGGTGGACGTGGTGGGGCAGCACGTCCCCCGCTGTCCCCTGGGCAGGACGCTCCTTATCCGAGCATCGCCGGAGCTGGGAGAGGGTGTCCCACTCCTGTCTCTCCTCCTGGCCATTTTTGGGGTGCTGCCACTCCTGTCCCTGTCTCAGGAGGGTTCAGCCATCGCTGCCAACAGAGATTGAGCCCCCCTGGCCCGGAGCAGCGGAGCTAATTCCCAAACTCCCCGTGTCCCATCCGGCTTTGCTGACATTGGTGGCAGGTGGCGATTAAGTGACATGACCAAGGCCATGTGCTTCCCAGAGATTCAGCCCGATGCATCCCCCTGGCCATCTGCAAGGAGGGTTGGTCCCACTGACCACCCCCTGCCCTCATCCCCCTGGGAAAAGGGATCCAACATCCCCACGGTCCTTGGGAGCAGATCCCACTGGTGCACAGCATCAGGTATGTAAGCCAAAGAGGGGACGAGATGGAAGTGATGGAGAAGAGCAGGGTGGGGACATGAAGGTCGGTTCCACCAAGGGTGGCACCGAGGTCCCTCCGTGACAGAGCAGCACCCAAGAAACCCCCATACCAGGATGCTTGGAGGTGAGGAAGACCTTGGTGACGGTGGCTTTGCAAGCCATGTGTTGCTCCAGCAGCATTTCAGGCTGGTTTTTAGGGCGTTGAGCACCCGGGTGGGGGGTCCCCACTTATTTCCCACCCCACCAAGCTGGGGGAGACACCTTTTCTCCTTGCCTGCAGGCAGGGATTGAGCCCCCCTGGCCCGGAGCAGCGGAGCTAATTCCCAAACTCCCCGTGTCCCGTCCGGCTTTGCTGACATTGGTGGCAGGTGGCGATTAAGTGACATGACCAAGGCCATGTGCTTCCCAGAGATTCAGCCCGATGCATCCCCCTGGCCATCTGCAAGGAGGGTTGGTCCCACTGACCACCCCCTGCCCTCATCCCCCTGGGAAAAGGGATCCAACATCCCCACGGTCCTTGGGAGCAGATCCCACTGGTGCACAGCATCAGGTATGTAAGCCAAAGAGGGGACGAGATGGAAGTGATGGAGAAGAGCAGGGTGGGGACATGAAGGTCGGTTCCACCAAGGGTGGCACCGAGGTCCCTCCGTGACAGAGCAGCACCCAAGAAACCCCCATACCAGGATGCTTGGAGGTGAGGAAGACCTTGGTGACGGTGGCTTTGCAAGCCATGTGTTGCTCCAGCAGCATTTCAGGCTGGTTTTTAGGGCGTTGAGCACCCGGGTGGGGGGTCCCCACTTATTTCCCACCCCACCAAGCTGGGGGAGACACCTTTTCTCCTTGCAACGGAGGCAAAGCATCTGTGGGGTCCCCAGACAGTGTCACGGTCACCTTTCGTCCCCACCAGCCGGGAGGTGACACAGAGCCTGCCAGCTCCTGGTTGTCATTTGCTGGAGGGTACGAGGGGAAGCTGATAAGGAGCAGGAATTAAGGCTTAATCTTCGTCGAGTCTCATTAAAACTGGCTGGCGGTGTGAGTCAGAGGCTTGGCAGAAAGCTCCGGGGAGAGGGCAAACCCCCCCCCTCCCCGCCCCCAAAAATCATTCAACCCCAAAATGGGGGTTCAGGGGGCTGCCACCCACCCCCCCCATAGCCCTGTCCCCATGTCCCCAAGAGACACCAGCCATGTCCCAGCAAAAGCAGGTCACATCTGGCTGCGGAGGAGCCTCCGAGATTACGGCTCGGCTTTTTCTTCCCCCTTAATTGAAAGATGCTATCGGGAGGGTGGGATGCAGTACCCGGCCAGGGGCAGGGCTGGGGAACAGGGGAACGACCCCCCTCTTTGCACATCGGTGCCCCCCGAAAAATTAAACCAGCCCGTGAGGAGGGAAGGAGCTGAACGCAGTGGGTTTTTTCCTTGCTTGGGGTTTTCGGGGCGAGGGGGGAGGCAGGGTTGGGGGTGGGGGTGACAGCACGAAGCCCCTTGCTGAGTGTCGCAGCCACAGAGCCACGAGGAAAAGAAGGATGCTTTTTTTTTTTCCCCATTTTCACCATTTTTCACCCTTCTCCCATTTTTTTCCTTTCTTCACCGTTTTTTCCCCATTTTTTCTCCATTTTTCCCCATTTTTTTCCATTTTTCCCCATTTTTTCTCCATTTTCCCCCATTTTTTCTATTCCCCCCACTTTTCTTCATATTTTTCCTCCAGGAAAACCAAACCTGGGCCCTATTTCCCAAGGGATTCACCATCCAGTCCCGCTGCCCTCACACCCAGGGATGCCATCAGCCCCTGGGCAAAGGATGTGACAACCCCAGGGTGACACCACAGCCACCCCCCCACCGGCTCCTCGGACACCGGGGGCTGCTCCTGGGCACGAACCTTCCTCTTCCTCCCTGAAAACCCAACCTCTTCATCCTGGCAGGATACGGCCACCTCATCCCCAAGCAGCTTTGGGACCCCCCCTCCAGCTGCCACGGGCTGCCCCAAGGATGCATCCTCTGGAGTTTTCAATCTGGTTAAAATACCCTCATTAATATTTGGGAGATAAAAAAACAAACAAAAAACAAAAAAGAGGGTTTTTTCTAGAAATCCAGCCTGCGCTTCAGATAACGGCGGGGTCTGGTTATCCATCAGGATTTATTTCCTGCTCCGGGTGGGATGATGTGGGAGAATCAGCCACACAAAAGGGCTGATTTGGGGGGCAGCAGGAAGGATGAGGGGGGATACGAATAACCCGAGGAGGAGAAGAGGTGGAAGGGGAAGCAGGTGCTGGCTGAGATGGGTTTTATCCGCTTGATTTGATGCGTTTTGGGTGGGGAGCTGGGCGGGCAGGGCTGGGGAGGTGCTCCATCCCCTCTCCCCAGGGATGCTCCGTCCCCTCTTCCCCCCGGGAGATGCTAAAGGCAAGGATCATCCCCACAGTGGGATCATCATCCTTCCCCTTCTCAGGGGTTTAAACGTGGTGATGCTCTTGCTTTCCGGGGCTGGGATCAGTCCCTCCACGTGGGGACCACCTTGAGGACCTCCTCGTTTTCCACCCCCCCACACCTCAACCAGCCCTGATTCATTTTTTCCCCCTTAAATCCCACACCACCCAAAGCCAAGGCCCGATCCAGGGAAGGGCAAGAGGGATGCGAGGGGGCAGGATCATGGCCCCACTGGCAGCCCAGCGTGGAAGGAGTCATTTCCAGCCCAAAAAAGCACAATATTGTCCAACAGTGTCCCCCACTGGCACCGGCAAAAACGCTTCTCCCCCCCAAACCCCGGGCGATGCCGCACGGCTTTGTGCCGGCGGCTTTCGGGGGGATTTTAGGGAGAAGAGGTGGGATTTGGGGAGGGGGAGTTTTTTTTTGGCTCCAGATGCTCGGCTCTCGCCGGAAAAATAAGCATTTCCTTTTGTCGGTCCCCCTCAATCAGGTAATTGGTCATAATTGGCCGAAATTAGACGCCGCGGCGCGACTATAAACACAGATGTGGGCTCGAGAGGCTGAAAAGGGCTGTTCAGGGGTAAAAAAGCTGGGGAAAAACATTCCTCCCCGCATCCCCACCTCTCAGCCATGCGTGTCTGCTGGTTTGGGGGGGCTGAAAAAAAATCAAAGCGACAAAAAAAACCACCCCAATTTCTCTCACTCCCTTTTGTGCTTCTTTGGGAGGGAAAAAAAGAGGTAGTTGGCAAACCAGGAGCATCTCGCGGTGACGCCGGTGAAGTCCTGGCTGGAAGAACAAGGGGCAGAAATACTGAATGGGGAAAGCCGTGGTGCGGCAGCTCTCCCTCCCCCCCCCCCAAAAAAATGCTCCTACAAAATCCCACCCATCCTGGAGGAGCCCACCATCACCCTGTGGGTTTCCCCCCCAGCTCCGGGCAGGCGGCCCGTGCCGACTCCTCCTGTTGCGTCCCTCCAGCTCCACTCTGGTTGATTTTTGGGGCTGGATGGTGAAGCCGAAACTTTTCCTCTCTTGGGATAGGGAGGGAAAAAAAATAAAAAAATAGTATCTTTCCCTCCAAGGTGATATATTTCATTCAACCCTTAGCCAGGTGAGGAATATCTCTCGGTGAATCGAAGCCGGACGGAGCATCCTTGGAGTGAAAAAAGCAGCTGAGCCCCCCCCTTTCCACCCCCTTGCCCCCCAACCCCAAGGATGGGAAATTTAAGTGGGTTTCCTACCTGCGGGTGTGCTGTCGGCTCCTCGGATCGGTGACTCCTCCGGCGCCTGTGCCTCGGTGGTGTATATATAGAGGGTGTACACACGCAGCCCCACACCTCCCTCCCCCAACACGTGCGTCGCTGAGCCCCCCCCCGGGGGCTGCCGGCGGAGGGATGCGCCAGCCGGCAGATGTGCATCCTTTCCCCCCCCTCCCCTTTCCTCCCCAAACCTCTCCCGCAGCCTTCATCCCTTCCTCCTCCTCCTCCTCCCCAAGTCTTGTTGGGGGACACACACACACGCACAGCCCCAAAAGAGGTGATGCCGGTGTCGGGGTTATCCAAAAGTGTGGGATGTCTTCCAGCATCCCAGGGATGGGATGGAGGATGGGGTGGGGGGGTGAGAAGCTCGGTGGCCCCAATGTGCCCTGGTCCAGACTTGGGAGGGGGGGTTACACAGACCCCAAGGCACTGGCAGCTGGGTGAGCCCCAAAATCACTCCCACACCCTCGTAGCAGCCCCCAGCTCTTCTCGGGGGGGTCTTTTTCCCCCCCACCAACCCCAGGAGGAGGCAAAGTGTGTGTGGGGGTCCCCAACCCCGTTACCACCCCTCTGGGTCAGGGCTGCGGCAGCGCCCCGGCGCGTCGTGCATCGATGGCGAAAGCGTGCGGGTGGGAATAATTGATTTCGGGCTCAG